TTCCTTTTTAGTCTCCTTCCAGCTTAGACCTTTAAATCGTCTCCATGGTGATGGGATGGGGGGGGGGTCAAACTGTCATAGGTCACATGGAAGAACAGAAAGATATAGAAAATCTGAGTTTCAGGATGACTGCATGTTCAGGTCTGAGCAGGCAGGACCGGTTCTGGTACCAGTAGAATCCTCTCGGTCGGTCTCTGAGCGGTCTGTGTGCCGGTTCTGTTCGGTCCACTCAGCATCTCTCTGTGTCTCCAGAGAATAAAGGCCAGAGGAAGGTGTTCCTCCCCAACAAGCTGCTGGACTGTCTGCCCCGCTCCGCCTGCCTGCCTAACGAGCGCCTCCGCTGGAACACTAACGAGGTGAGAGGGAGGGAGGAGAACCTGGGAGGTTCTGATGGTTCTGAGTCAGCAGCTACAGCCTTCCTTGTTTGGACCTTGTGTCTCTGCAGGAGATCGCCTCCTATCTGATTTCCTTCGACAGACATGAGGAGTGGCTCTCCGTCAGCCTGAAGACCAGGTAGGCTCCTGCTGCGCCTGCCAGACGGTGCTCAGGGCTGCAGGTTCTCATGTTGGCGTCTGGGTGTTTCAGGCCGAAGAACGGCAGCATCATCCTCTACAACAGGAAGAAGGTGAAGTACAGGAAGGACGGCTACTGCTGGAAGAAGAGGAAGGATGGGAAGACCACCAGGGAGGATCACATGAAGCTGAAGGTCCAGGGCATGGAGGTAGGGTCTGCAGCGCCCCCCGCTGGAGGGCTGGGGGAGGTGCTGTACTGCTGAACCTGCTGCTATGACCTCAGGTGGATACAGGCCTTAGATCGTCTAACTCTAAAGCTGCGTTCACAGTGAACAAGATCTGAGCACCAAAATGGATAAAACGCAGAAATCTGCATGTAGGATCAAACTGTGGTGAAGCTCTGGAAGCTCGACGCTCCGGATGCTTTTTAAATAAATAAATACTCTATTGATTTAAATAATCCACAAATAATTTATAAATACACAATTAATACTTGAAAATACTCCATAGATATGTTATAAATACTCCATATATGCATGAGCATAGACTCATCCAGGAAGTCGTTATGAGAAACATAGACTCATCTTCACTATATGACACATTAACCCATTTAATGCGTAATAAAAAAAAAGTCAAAGTTGAGAGGACCGTGGCAACCAGCGGACCGCAGTGTGCAGCACCCAGGGCTAACGTTAGCCCATGTGAAGCGGCCAGGGCTAACCTTAGCCCGTCTGCAGCAGCCAAGGCTAACGTTAGCCTGTGTGAAGCGGCCAGGGCTAACCTTAGCCCGTCTGCAGCGGCCAGGGCTAACGTTAGCCCGTGTGAAGCGGCCAGGGCAAACGTTAGCCCGTGTGAAGCGGCCAGGGCAAACGTTAGCCCGTCTGCTGCAGCCAGGGCTAACGTTAGCCCGACTGCTGCAGCCGGGGCAAACGTTAGCCCGTCTGCTGCAGCCAGGGCTAACGTTTGCCCGACTGCTGCAGCCAGGTTTAACGTTAGCCTTTCTGCTGCAGCCCGGGCTAACGTTAGCCCGTGTGAAGCGACCAGGGCTAATGTTAGCCCGTTTGAAGCCGCAAGGGCTAACGTTAGCCTGACTGCTGCAGCCCTCTCTCTGCATAGCTGATGGAGGTTTGATTGTTTTATTTGGCAAAATGTTCATTTGATTTGTGTTTATCTGACTGTGTTTATTATTATTCCTCCACTAAATGAAAAAAGTCATAATTTATTATTATCTAGAGACTATTAATAACAGGAAATGAAATACAGCTCTAGACTAGCTTTGAATGTGGTGATGTCATCAGTACGCTTCTGTTCCAATTGACCCAGATTGATGCTGCTCCGTTTCTCCCAGAGTCCAGACTTTCCTAGGTTCTAGTCAGGAACATACTTGGCGAGAACACGACTCCGTACTGATGTTCTAGTGAACTGAGATAGAGCTTATACACGATCTTCCAGGAAGTGGATAGATTCAGCATAGACTCTTCCAGGAAGTAGTTTTAGTTATTTTAGAATCTTCCAGGAAGTGGTTTGAGTCATTATAGAATCTTCCATGAAGTGTTTAGGATCAGCTAAGACTCTTCCAGGAAGTGGTTTGAGTCATTTTAGAATCTTCCAGGAAGTGGTTTGAGTCATTTTAGAATCTTCCAG